CAACATTCTGGGGGCGCAAAATCTAAGGGCCAATCAGTTTCATAGTTGTCGATTTTCGAAAGAAATCAGTACATGTATATTATTTCGTATATTTTTCATTTTATTGATGCTATGGAAAGCACTGTTCATTAAAATGTTGTATCCCATGTTATTGGGCTTGTTTCTCCCTATAATTTCCTGTCTCACAATGTACTGTTTGTGTCGGGGAAGGGATTATAGTTTCATAGTTGTCGATTTTCGAAAGAAATCAGTACATGTATATTATTTCGTATTTTTTTCATTTTATTGATTTTATGGAAAGCACTGTTCATTAAAATGTTGAATCCTATGTTATAGGGCTTGTTTCTTTCTACAATTTCCTGTGTCACAATGTACTGTTTGTGTCGGGGAAGGGATTATAGTTTCATAGTTGTCGATTTTCGAAAGAAATCAGTACATGTATATTATTTCGTATTTTTTTCATTTTATTGATTTTATGGAAAGCACTGTTCATTAAAATGTTGAATCCTATGTTATAGGGCTTGTTTCTCTCTACAATTTCCTGTCTCACAATGTACTGTTTGTGTCGGGGAAGGGATTATAGTTTCATAGTTGTCGATTTTCGAAAGAAATCAGTACATGTATATTATTTCGTATATTTTGTATTTTATTGATTTTATGGAAATCACTGTTCATTAAAATGTTGTATCCTATGTTATAGGGCTTGTTTCTCCCTATAATTTCCTGTCTCACAATGTACTGTTTGTGTCGGGGAAGGGATTATAGTTTCATAGTTGTCGATTTTCGAAAGAAATCAGTACATGTATATTATTTCGTATTTTTTTCATTTTATTGATTTTATGGAAAGCACTGTTCATTAAAATGTTGCATCCTATGTTATAGGGCTTGTTTCTCTCTACAATTTCCTGTCTCACAATGTACTGTTTGTGTCGGGGAAGGGATCATAGTTTCATAGTTGTCGATTTTCGAAAGAAATCAGTACATGTATATTATTTCGTATTTTTTTCATTTTATTGATTTTATGGAAAGCAATGTTCATTAAAATGTTGCATCCTATGTTATAGGGCTTGTTTCTCTCTACAATTTCCTGTCTCACAATGTACTGTTTGTGTCGAGGAAGGGATTATAGTTTCATAGTTGTCGATTTTCGAAAGAAATCAGTACATGTATATTATTTCGTATATTTTGTATTTTATTGATTTTATGGAAATCACTGTTCATTAAAATGTTGTATCCTATGTTATAGGGCTTGTTTCTCCCTATAATTTCTTGTCTCATAATGTACTGTTTGTGTCGGGGAACGGATCATAGTTTCATAGTTGTCGATTTTCGAAAGAAATCAGTACATGTATATTATTTCGTATATTTTTCATTTTATTGATACTATGGAAAGCACTGTTTATTAAAATGTTGTATCCTATGTTATAGGGCTTGTTTCTCTCTACAATTTCCTGTCTCACAATGTACTGTTTGTGTCGGGGAAGGGATTATAGTTTCATAGTTGTCAATTTTCGAAAGAAATCAGTACATGTATATTATTTCGTATATTTTGTATTTAATTGATTTTATGGAAATCACTGTTCATTAAAATGTTGTATCCTATGTTATGGGGCTTGTTTCTCTCTATAATTTCCTGTCTCACAATGTACTGTTTGTGTCGGGGAAGGGATCATAGTTTCATAGTTGTCGATTTTCGAAAGAAATCAGTACATGTATATTATTTCGTATATTTTTCATTTTATTGATACTATGGAAAGCACTGTTTATTAAAATGTTGTATCCTATGTTATAGGGCTCGTTTCTCTCTACAATTTCCTGTCTCACAATGTACTGTTTGTGTCGGGGAAGGGATAATAGTTTCACAGTTGTCGATTTTCGAAAGAAATCAGTACATGTATAATATTTCGTATTTTTTTCATTTTATTGATTTTATGGAAAGCACTGTTCATTAAAATGTTGTGTCCTATGTTATAGGGCTTGTTTCTCTCTACAATTTCCTGTCTCACAATGTACCGTTTGTGTCCGGGAAGGGTTCATAGTTTCATAGTTGTCGATTTTCGAAAGAAATCAGTACCTACATGTGTATTATTTCCGAATTTTAGTTTATTGTTTTTATGTATTTCATATAAAATGGGTCAGTTTTTTTCTTTAGGGTACTATTTTTGTTACTAAATATTTGTGGTTTTGTTTTATTTATTTAACAAATGTTTTTATACTTTAATTAGAATAGTTTTTTTTACATTTCCAATTACATATTGCTCGTTTGTCGCAGAATATAAATTCTTTAAATTTTTGAGATTAAGATTAGAATATATAATTGATTTAAATATAAAAAGGGGGACAAAAGAATGCTGCACGTAGGCGCCAGATACCCCAGGAACGGGCCTGTAAGTACCATGCAATATACAGGGTGGTCCGAACTGTGTTCCTGAAACTTCGGCAGCATATTCTACAGATAAAAATAAATAAAAAAGTTCATATAAATGTATGTTCTAAAATGCTTAGTTTTGGAGATACAGGATGTAAAAATTTAATTTTTATTTCGTTTTTTTTTTTAAATAATTTCTGAAGTAACGACAATATTAAGAAGGATATTTGATTTTGATGTCAATATGACTCCTATTTGTAGGGGCGCCACCTGCATGTGTTTTAACTATTTTAAAGAGTAATAACTTTCCGTCCGCACCTGTATAAAACTACTGAGTGAAAAAATATACATTTTCGTAATTTTTTACGTAAAAATGTCTCTTGGTAAAAATCAACTTGACATCAAAATCAAATTTCTCATGTCAAAAAACTCCCACACCAATTTTCATCAAAATATCGACGTTACTTCATAAATTATTTGAAAAATAGAAATAAAAATGAAATTTCTACACCCTGTATCTCCGAAACTAAGAATTTTAGGACAAACATTTATACAGACTTTTTTACTTATTTTTATCTGCAGAATAATGCTGCCAAAGTTTCCGAAATATAGTTCGGACCACCCTGTAGAATATTTTTATAGCTAGTACAATTAATGTAAAAAAGTATAATTATTGTCACAATTATAAATATATTTCCATTTAAAAAACATTTTAAAATTTTATGAGAACTTTAATTAAAATGTAAAACCTTACCTGAACTTTAATCGAAAAGGGTTAGATTTTAAATCAACCTGGTATATTTATAAGAATTTTATTAATATGTGCGCTGCTATTAACTACATATTTTATAAAAAAAGACTGAACGAAAATATCAAACATAAAACCTGATATAAAACATATTTCAGAGTTAAACGAAGTGTTAAACTAAAAACTGAATCACCCTGTATAAGATTTTAAAATTACGACCCTCCTTTTTTATATTCTACCCTCTCTATATTCTCTTTAAAAATACTTGTTTACTCATTTTTAAATTTTGATAATAATTTATTCCGGTGCTTGTCAGATATAACACCCTCCGAATTTTGTACTTTTTTTTATATCACTCGAAAGCATACATAGAAATAAGTATTTCAAGCCAAAAAAAAGTGTGGATGATCCATAATTTAATGAAAAAATAAACATCTAATTATTGCTACAACTGGCTACTTTCTATGCGAAAACTCCTCCAAATTTTGTCGGCGTTGCCAGATTCATTCATTTCTTCTTGAAAGGTTCACTAAAAAACACGTGCTGGTCGGAAGAAAACTCGCGTTAACAACAGATTATTTTAAAATCAAGAAAAGGATCTAAGAGAAAAGGCGATCGCCTGAGGAACTGCTCCTACCCATAGCTGATATTTTGCCTACGAGATCACTATTTATAACTACAAAGTTGCACGAAAGAGTTTTGATTGCGTTGGTTTCAACTTGTTTGGGGGTTAATCTGTTGTTTTTTTTTATATTTTAATACGAATCTGAGTGCTTTCAATGTCCTGATTTTAAAATAACTTATAATCTGTTCTTATCGTGACAGCGCTACTGTATAAGGATTTGTTCGTCCGGCGACCGGCACGTAAAATCAAGTGAAAGCTATCAGATTCGTACTAAAATAAAAAACAAAACAAAAGATTAACACACTCACTGAAAGGTTGAAACCAACGCAATCAAAACTCTTTCGGTCTCAACTCTTTTTTTGTATCATGTAACGTACCGAATGATCGAAAAAAAAACGGCGTCAGCCATGGCTATGAAATGAACATCGCTGTCATTTTATATGTAAAATTATATGGGGAATGTCATCGATCGTCATTTCCAAGCCAGCTGGACGCCGTTTTTTTTTCGATCATACGGTATTATGTATCATACAAACAAGAAATAACTTTGGCAACAATGCTTAGGCAGCTTACATCCTTAACAACAAATGGTGACAGACGGCTTCGGCGGCAAGTTTGAATCGAAAGAGTAAATTGATCAGGCAAATATTACAAAAGATATCACCAACTCTATTTTTGACTTATGACTTATTAATGCTTCCCACTGATTAATTCTGACCTTTATATTAATAAAAAATGCATATAATCGTCATACCTATTTTACAATAATTACACGCTTATACAACTTCACCATAACCTAAAAATGCACTTTTAATTTATTTATTTTTCAATAAATTGTGGTTCATCCGCAATTTTTTTTTGCTTAAAATTCTTATTTAAGTGTATGCTTTCGACTGATATATAAATAAATGCCAAATTCGGAGGGTGTTATATCTGACAAGCACTTAAAAACTGAATCACCCTGTATAAGATTTTAAAATGACGACCCTCCTTTTTTATATTCTACCCTCTCTATATTCTCTTTAAAAATACTAGTTTACTCATTTTTAAATTTTGATAATAATTTATTCCTAATAAAACAACACTTGGACAAACTTTGTTCTAGTGTTCTTTAGGTACAATAATTAGCTGCCTTAATTACAATAAGTTGTAATGTATTTATTTTTTGCATCAAAAATGTATTTTTAAACATACCTATTAACCCCGATTTTAATCTATAATCTACTGATTTAAGTTTAAGATATCACATTAAATTGTACCTTTTGATCCAAAGAAGAATCCTTGCTCTTCAGCGCCAATTTTAGGCTGAGGCGGAGGAGGTGGCGTGAAAATAGCGATAATTTGCTCAAAATCTTTCTCGGCCGACAAACGTTTCTTCTCTTCCAAATCGAGCAATCTTTGAGCGCGTCTCATTTCCTTTTCTTCTTGTTTACTATTCTCGTAAGCTTTCAAAGCTTGGTGTTTGAGGAAACCGTACGCTACGCCGGTACATAGAAAAGAATATCTAAAAAACTAGCGTTTTCTACTTGTAAATATAGCTTTGGATAAGTATTTTTATAAAATGTTACCTTAATCACTGGAGAAACACGAAATGGTGGAGGTATATCAGACATTTTTCCCAATTTGAAAGAGTTTTACAAGAGAGTTTCACGCTGTGTGTCAAATAAATGAAAAAAAAGCTAACCACAAATACGTCAATGTCAAAGTTTAATCCTAAATCCTGCCTACTTAACTTAAGAAAGAGGGCGTTCAATGTGTTTACTTTTTTAATTCTATAGTTTACTCTAGATGGAGTTATGTGAGATTACAAATTTTACCAATTATTTTATCTATAATATTTATTATTGTCTTAATACATATATTTGGTATACCCATATATTTATTATGACATGAATATTAAGACTTTTAAAAGGTACCTATATAATTCTGCAGGTGTATACAGGCAATACAGGGTGAGTCAACGAGTAAAGAATAAAATTCATAATCTAATTTGTTTTGGAAATTTAAAAAAATCCAAATACGAATATGTAGTTGTAGATATTGCAGTTGTGAGATATTTGCGTATACAGGGTGCTTCAAAAAGTATGATGGATTGTGCTAAACCAACCCCCTATGGTAGGGGGTTGGTATGGGAGGGGGTTAGAAATTTAAAAAAATCGTAACTCCAAAATTACCGAAGCTAGCGAAACGCGGTTTTCAATTTAAGATTAGGAATATTATTTGCAACAAAATTTGTAATAACATCAAAATCAGTCAAAGTCGCAGTTTTTGAGATAAAAAAAATTGGAAAAATTCCTTTATTTATTGAAACTAAAATGTAAAACTAAAAATGTTGAAACTAAAAGTATGGGCGGCTATACGTGCCTCCCGGCGTCAATTTTTTTACACTAATGTCGTAGTTTTTAAATGAAATACGGTATTTTTTACTTATTAGATTTTGCATATAATGGCTATACCAAAAATATCATAATATAAGCAGAGCGATTTTTCACATATGACCATTTTAAAACAATGTTTATAAATTTACCGCTTATAAAAAGCCCTGTCAAAATACTAAAATCGAAAATTTTTGATATTTTTCCTATAGGGTTCCGTAAGGTAGTGTCTTCTTCAAAATTCAGTTTACTAAAATTTGCAATTTTGTTTATATGCAATATGCTGGACAAACAAATGGAATACAGTGTATTTTGTATCATAAACGAAAATATTGATTTTGAGTATACCGGGTGTTTCTCAAAAGTGACTCTGCCTCGAGCCCTGCCTATATATTTTTTTATTTTTTCTGATTAAAAAACTAGATCAGGCATGTTAGTATATAGTCTAAATTAGGATTGATTGACGTATTCAATTGTTTTCGGACACTTCCTGTTTCACCGGAAATTATTACAACTTGATTTTTAAATGGCACCCTCGGTATTTTCCTACTTTATTCGATAGAAAATGACACTCTGAATAAAATGACATATCAAATGTCAACTTATTTTGACATTTTTGTTTAAAGAAAAATCGTATTTTAAATTTCAATCTAGAGTGCCATGGCTGTGTTAAAAAACACTAATTTTTAATCAAAGAGCCTTGGAAAAATAGATTGATCATCTAATGTTTCTCGTATCTTGTCCTAGCCGGTTAAAAGATGCTTAAATCATATTTTTCAAACGGAACGAGGGTGACTCATTAGCATATTTGGAACACACGACACTTGGTATTTCGAATCAAATTGTCTTTACGAACCGCATGTTACAACTTCAAGCATAGACTTAAAATAAAATATAGACTGAGCATCTCATTCATAAATAGCTGGAACATGCGGTCAGACACTGTCTTGTTATTGTTGTGTTATTGTTTTAGGTTATAACGAGTGCGACACGAGCGATAGATAGGTTGTCTCTGTCGTAACGGTCCCTGACGACTCTGCCGAGAAACACAACACTGTCTTTCGTTTCTCAAGTACACCTGAACTCTCCGTATCATAGCCGGGTAATTTTTTTTATTTTAATGAAGCTATAATTAAATTAAAAATATATCGTATTTAAACTTTTTTATATTTTATTAAGATTTAAGACAGGTTTTTTAAATAAAAGTTTAGAAAAAACAATTTAGAGTCCAAAAAGGATAAAAATAATAAAATACACGTTATAGAAGAAATTTTATAATCGAAATTACGTAATTTTTGAAATTAATAATAAATTATTAATTTTAGTCAAACATTACAACCCTAATATTAATCAAAACAGGATCTATTCCACAGATATAATAGAATCGGCGACAGGGAGAGAAAAAAATAATATATGATTGTTGTAATTTTTTTCTGGTTAAGTTATGTCTTATGTAAATTAGAGAAAACATAAATCCAATCCATTAAAGCAAGGAAGGTGATAGGAAATGGATAAAATGAAAACTACATTTATTTAACTCGGTACTGTCTTTATTATACCGGGTGCGTCCCAAAAGTGGCTCATCCACATAATTTTTTTATATTTTCAAATAAAAACTAAGATTTAGTATGTTAGTATATGACATAAATTAGGATTGATTGACGTATTCAGTTGTTTTCAGTCACTTCCTGTTTCATCGGAAATGACTATAACTTTTAATTTTTAAACGGCACCCTTGGTATATTTCTACTTTATTCGATAGAAAATGACACTCTGAATAGAATGACATATGATATGTCAACTTTTGACATTTTCGCATATGGTTTAATTGTAATTGTAACATGCGGTTCATAACGACAATTTGACTCGAAATACCAAGTGTGTGGTATCAATATATTCATAAAAAAATGCTTTTTCCAAATATGCTAACGAGTCACCCTTGTTCCATTTGAAAAAATTGACATATGTATGATTAAAAATACGATATGTACATCTCTTAACCAGCCTAGACAAGACACGAAATCTATTAGACGATCAAAACTATTTTTCCAAGACTCCTTGATTAAAACTTAGTGTTTTTAACAACACCATGGCACCCTGGATTGAAATTTAAAATAGGATTTGTTTTTAAGCGACAATGTCAAAAGTTGACATATGATATGTCATTCTATTCAGAGTGTCATTTTTTATCGAATAAAGTAGCAATATACCGAGGGTGCCTTTAAAAATTAAAAGATGTAATCATTTCGGTGAAACAGGAAGAGACCAAAAACAATTGAATACGTCAATAAATCCTAATTTATGCCATATACCTACTAACATACAAATCTGTTTTTTTATCTGAAAAAATAAAAAAGTTATAGGGGGTGAGCCACTTTTGAGACGACCCGGTATATTAAAAAATATTGTTTCATAATGTAATATCATTTTAAAATTCTTGTATGTTATTTTAGATTCTGAAGATAATTTTAGAATAAACCGGAATATATTTTTAATAAAAACATTATTAATTATTAACAGGGTTATAATTATGATTTTGTTACAATGTAAGTAAGTAAATAATGTAATGTAAGAGAAAAAATTCAGATTTTACATTTTACTAAAATATTATCTAAATAAGCGCCTTTCTACAACAACGCCACTGACTCCCAATGGGTAAATTGAGAGTTGCCTACCGGTCAAAAGTCGTTTCAAGACTTAAATGGATTATTTAAGTCAAATTTCTTGCAAATTTGGCACTGGCGAACCATATTTTATAGTTCTTGAACAGAAAAAGTCAATAAAATAAACACTTAAGCACTACAAGCTAAGAAAATGCGTTAATACAGCCGGGGAGATAGCGGCAACAAAGCTTTACCGCACACGTGCGACACGTACTACAAGGTAATAAATGAATGAATAGGCTCCCTCGCCTCTAATCGGTGTTGTCATATTGTAAAGAACTTATCCTTTTTAAACAGTATCCGACTTATAATTTAGTAGTATAAGGACTATTTAATACATCTCTGGAATATAATACCTACTTTATTAAACTGTAGTATTAATATCTCAATATATGTGTATAACAAGAAAAAAAATATTGATAATATTAAAGACGTGACAACATAGGCTGGATGAGGAAGGCTCGGTCGACTGTACCCAGAAGTAAACATGTGTACAAAAAATATTGTTTGTCCGCGTTGAGATGTAAATAGTGTAGTCTATATTTTATTTTAAGTCTATGACTTCAAGAGTGTCGTTTTCTATGGAATAAAGTAAAAAAATACCGAGGGTGTAATTTAAAAATTAATAGTTGTAGATAGTCAACATCTATATTTTTGGAGATATAAGGAAAAAACAGCAGAAATTACAAATTTTTCTTGCTTTTTTCAATGTTTCGTCACGAAATTTTGTAGCAAACTTCAGATTCGGATTCAACGCCACAAAAAAAATCATAAAGAACGAAAGAAATCAGAACTACCCTGTATAAGACTACGTCATTTAACTATACAGTAGTTCATAATGCGATAATATAACGATAGGTACTTTCTATTATTTTTTTTTTGAAAAGTACCAACAATTCAAAAATTGATTCAATCATTTGGTATCCAAGGACAAAATTTTATTAGGAAATTCAATATATTACAATATAAATATAAATATTTAACAGTCATTATTTGACCAAAAATGCCAAATAAGAACCATTAAAGCGATAGATAATTACGAAACACGAAAAAATCAGCCATAAATTATTGCTATTTTCGAATTACACCAATGTTAATAGCTATTTTTTTAACTCTATCCGTAAATCATTTAAAATAGTATAACTATCAAGGTCGATTATTGCATAACTTATTATTTCTTTAAATTCGTCGTGAGCAATTTATTGAAACTGTGTGAATGTCAACCTGTGTTGTTATTGTTATTGTTAGAAAGAGCTTGTTTACATATTATGTTGCAAAATGCAAACAAGTTGTGCAATGACTAATTAGTAATTAAAGAATAAAAATTAATAATATAGCTTATTGAAAGACGAAAATAACTTAAGCTATTGATTATTTGTGGAGGATCATAAAAATATATAAAGTTGTGTTAATATTAGATTTGCAAACCGCCAACTGACAAATTATAATACTACAATGTATGAGCATTAATATTCTGTGGCTTAACTGTGAAGAATAAGCCCTAATGGAAGTAAGCAATATTATAAGAATGTGCCATAAAATGTTCTCGCACGAAATAAAACACCGAATCGAAATCGCGAGAGGGACATTTAACAAAATGCGAAATATAGGTACTATGCAACTTGTCCCTCAACGTCCGC